TAAGGAGGTGCATCTGAGCAGGGTTCAGCTGATTCCCCTATAAAGAGCAGCAGGAAGCTGCAGAGAGCGTGAGTTCTCAGGGAGACCAGAGTGAAGTGCAAAGGCTGCTGGGAGGGAATAGGCTCCAGCACAGAAACCTGGGACTTCAGACAGGAAAGGTCTGGGAGTGGGCTGGTAAGAGGGTAAATGGATGAACTTGAGGAGGAACTTGAGAACTGTCTTTATTTGTTATGATCGTAAAAACCAGAACCTGAGAAGGGCTGTGAAGGGACAAAGTGTTTGTGAATTATTGAAGAAGCCCCATGAAGGGGGAAACTGAGGCAGGGGACTGCTTGCTGGCCACCTTGAGGGGCTGCTGGGTGCCCTATTGTTTGAGACATTTAAAACTAGAATAAGACAGACATTGTACAGAATGATCCTGAATTTGCAAGGGGAAAGACAAGCCAACCTAACAGGTCTTCCCATCCCTGATTTCTACATATGTTCTATGAGATTCTCCACTACGTTCACAGCTACATCCTAGAAATATGTATAAACAGGCCAGACAGACCAGGTATATGCCATAGTTAGGGCGTGATTTCATTGCAAGGTCACAGATTCTATGAATTCCCCCCTTCCTCTATATAAATGGTCATAAAAGGACCGGTTACCCCCACTGTGGAAGTACGAGAGTAGTTCTGTGACCTCACAACAAAGTCCTCCTCCTAACTATGGAATACACATAGTATACCTACATCTAATTCTACCTATACATATTATAGAATATAGATATTAAAGTGGCAAGAACCACACAGAATGCACAGTCTATGGATGATTTATCTATTGCCAGAAACCTGCCTGCTCTGGATAAAAAGTTAAAACAAACCATGCCTCAATTAGGAACACAGGAATTGCCAGAGTGGAAAGACCAATGGTCCATCTAGCCAGTGCCAGCTGCTTTAGAGCAAGGTGCATGCAACCCCACAGCAGGCAATTATGGAATAACCTGCCCTTGGGAAAGTTTTGTACTAACCCGTATTAGTTAGAGGTTGGCTCATGCCCTGAAGCACGAGAGTTTACATCCCCTCAAAAACTCTAATCCTTACTATAACAATTCTTGATTTCTTGCCATCCATATAAATAATAGCCAATAAATATAATAAACAAGACTGCTTTTTCTCTTCTTACTAACAACGGCTTGTCTACATGGGAAAAAGGCCTGGAATAGCTATTGCTGAATAGCTGTTTCACACTAGCTCCCCACACTAACTCATACTCTGTACCAAGAGTGCCTTTGTGCAGTTTAGGGTAATCCACTTTGGAAATGGATTACTCTAAACTTAGTACAGAATAAGAGCATCCACACAAGGAGTGAGTGCAGAATAGCTATTGCATTTTATATTCACCCCCTTGCTATTTCTGCACTCGTTTCCCTATAAATTCCCCATGTAGACAAGCCCTAATAACCTTACTATTGGTTGGAGGTGGCAATATAAAACTGGTAGAGAGATCCTCATCCATATAGGCAACTCCACTTTCACAAGCAGATCCCAAAGGTGGCAGTGGAAAAAAAAAATCCGTGTGCACCTGCCAGCCCCGCCACCCCCATCTTGTGTACTTCAGTATACCTCTTGTGTACCTCTTTATACATGCAATTATCCAGTCCACATGAAGATATTTTTGTGAGTGCCCATAACCCCCACATTTCAAAATTTGACCCAAAGTGACTTATGAAACAGCAGCAGTTGTAAAATCTGAAAACATTGCAAACAGTCATATTAGTTTGACTCATAATGGCAGCAGCTAGAGGTTTTCACTGACACGCTCTTATTCAGCAACTTGAGAAAACCACCAGTTTCCTGACAAAGCCAAATGCTGCTGCTGCTAAAAAACACCAACCGAGAGCACAAGATATACCCTCAGACACTAGGTTAGCCACTGCTTGACGCACAGTTTCTTGCGTCTGGTCTACGAGAACACATGAGCTGGGGCAGAGAGTTGGTGTGTACAGCCTCAGACATAAGAGGAAGCAAGGCACAAAGTTGCTGTTATAAAAATTCAGCAGTAATTTGAAATAAGAGCATGAGACAAAATGAAATGTTGACGTCAGAATCGGGTTTAGGTTGAGGATGCTGTTCAATTAGGGCTGCACTTCTCCACTGTGTGGCATGACAAAACAGCTGAAAGCCTTCTGTCTCCACAACCCCTTTGGCTCATAATATATTTCCCTCTCATTTTAAAACCTAAAATTTTAAAGGGACATGTCGACTGGAAAGGAGGCAATGAGAGAACAGCCCAGGGTACTTTTCCAGTAACCCAGAGTTAAGGCATTCGTTTCAATAGCTGGATGCAGTGACATTGATTTTTAATGGAAAGAGAAAAGGGAGTGACTTATTCAGAGCCACATACAAACTAGAGGCCTGATCTTGCAACATGTTCAGCCCCAATAAAATGAGCCCCTCACAGGATAAGAACATAAGAATGGCCCTACTGGGTCAGACCAAAAATCCATCTAGCCCAGTATACTGTCTTCCAACAGTGGCCAGTGCCAGGTGCCCCAGAGGGAATGAACAGAACAGGCAATCATCAAGCGATCCATTCCCTGTTGCTCATTCCCAGCTTCTGGCAAACATGATTTTATAGACCTCAATCATATCTCCCTTTAGCCGTCTCTTTTCCAAGCTGAAAAGTTCCAGTCTTAGGCCTGGTCTACACTAGGGGGTGGGGATCGACCTAAGATACGCAACTTCAGCTACAAGAATAGCGTAGCTGAAATCGACGTATCTTAGTTCAACTTACCTCGCGTCCTCACGGCGCGGGATCGACTGCCGCCGCTCCCCCATCGACTCCGCTTCCGCCTCTCATAGCGGTGAAGTTCCAGAGTCGATGGCAGAGCGATCGGGGATCAATTTATCGTGTCTACACTACACTAGATGTGATAAATCGATCCCCAACAGATCGATCACTACCCGCTGATCTGGTGGGTAGTGAAGACGTACCCTTATTAATCTCTCCTCATATGGAAGCCACTCCATACCCCTAATAATTTTTGTTGCCCTTTTCTGAACCTTTTCCAACTCCAATATATCTTTTTTGAGATGGGCGACCACATCTGCACACAGTATTCAAGATGTGGGCTTACCATGGATTTATATAGAGGCAACATGATATTTTCTGTCCTATTATCTATCCCTTTCTTAATTATTCCCAGCATTCTGTTTGCTTTTTTGACTGCCGCTGCACATTGAGTGGATGTTTTCAGAGAACTATCCACAATGACTCCAAGATCTCTTTCTTGAGTGGTAACAGCTAATTTAGACCCCATCATTTTATATGTATAATTGACAGATCCCTGTGGAGCCCAGCCAAGGGGATTAGAGCTCTAGATTCAACCTGTTTGGGGAAGAGAGAGAATTATTTGTTTCAATTTAAAGGGAGCATATTAATACCCCTAGCAAGTCGAATAAGTATTGTATTTATTATAGGATTTCAGCTAATCTGGTGTCTGCTTTTATTCTGCTGTTGTTCCATTTCTCTATTGCTTGCAGCAACATCCATTTACACAATGGCAGAGTCAGCTTCTCTTATGATAGTCCTCAAATAATCACTTACTATAGTACAAGGGATTTTTTAGTGTGTGGAATCCTATTCCTCTTTTCAAAGCTGCTCTTGACTCATCAATAGTATAGAGAAAAAAGAAAAAACCTGACCTGCAATTTATCAAGTGTAGAACATGCTGCACACTAACAATGTTACAGACCGACACATCTACCAGACTGGAAAATGCTTAGCTTGTGCTTTGCCCCTCTGCTGTTTACAGCCCTGAAGGAGGCTAACAGAACCACCTTGAAGAACAGCCACTCGCTGCTCTTACAACGTATATAATCAGCTGCTTGAAATTCTTTCATGTCTAAGCTTTTAGCCTGAGGTATATTATCCATTGCATGGAAACCTAGAAAATGTACGGAGATTTAGGTTAAATATAACAGACACTCTTGCTAGTTCAAATTCATGGGGTGGATGCCCTGATAGCCCATTTGCCGCAAAGTGTTTTTCCTATCAGTGACATCTTTGCAAAGCTAGTTTAATTGCTCTTAATGTATGGACTCTTAAATGAGGCAGTTGGGATGACTCCAGGATGAGACAGACAATGAGTTTTTTTTATGAGAGACCATGTCAAAGATAGAAACAGGTGAAACCCCTCTACTCTTCGTAAACCATTCTGTAACACAAGAACAAAGGGGTCACTCAATGAAGCTAATGGCTGGTCAATTTGAAGCAAAAGGAATTACTTGATGCGGTGTGTACTCAGCCTGTGAAATTCATTGATACTCAAAGTCAGAGTCAAATACTATTGTTGTATTCTAAATGGGATGGATAATTTTATGACCAAAAATGTTTGTAGTTAGTGTGCTAAGACCAGGGTAATCAAATGCCATGCTTAGGAACATAAACTAATCATTGCAGAAGCCAGAAAGGAATTTGCCCTGCCCCTTCCATGTACATCATTGCATAACAGGGCTTAAGGTGGACTCAAGTGCAGTCATGTGCAGATATTATGGGGGATTTTCAGCTTCCTCTCAAGCATCAGGCACAGGCCACCGCAAAAGGAAGGATAATGAATTTGATGGACCACTGGTCCAATCTGGCATGGTAAACTTTAGTGTGAGACAGACCTTAGAACAAAATGCATCTACAGTGGAACCTCACATTTGACAAATGTTTCTGGGGACTCTTTTCTGTTCCTTATAATGAAGGCTCATTACAGTGAATGAGCCTGATTGACTTCAGAGGAGATAGTCACTTGGATAGCCTGGTGAAGAGTAGTATAAGACCACACATAGAACAGGGATGGACAGGCTTTATGTTCAACAAAGCATTTTGGTTTATCAGTGTTTGTCCTAGCAAGGGTGGAACATACTCCTTTTAAACAGGTTGAGAGCAGTATCTTAGTTCTGCTACAAAAATATTACCCATTACAGTGTCATTTAAAAGCCCATTTCATGACCCTGAGTAATTACCTCCTCTAGCCTTCGCCTCTGCTCCTTCTGCTCCTCAATCCGCTTTTGCCGCTCTGCTAGCAGTTGCCGCTTGTGCTCTTCATTCTCTCGCTGCTGCTGCTCCAGCTGCTGCCGTCGGAGGGCCTCTGAACGCTCCTTATTTGCTAGCTGAAGCCTCAAGAAATCCCGTCTCAGTGTTGACTCTCCAGGCAGATTTAGGATGGAACTTCACAGGGAAGAAGCATCAGAGGCATTCTAACCATGTGTTTATGCTCCCGACCGAGAAATTCTGTATGTGTATCTATGTTTAACTCCCTTTCTCTTTTGGCTTTGCATTTTGCCATTGAAAGTATTTGTGTAACAAGTGGAGGAGGAAGTGCTGGCACAGTATTTAGTGAAGGAAAGCAGGGAATCACAAATGGACTAGGTAGAACAGCTCAGAGACTTGCCAGGTGAGATGCAGCAGTTCTGCTGCCTCATTTTTTACATGGGTTTCAGGAGACAACAAGCTTCGTGGTGGATCAGCCTTGAATTTGTGGCATAGCTCACATGAAGAAAGGGTCATCACACTGTTCACGAACTCACTAGTAATTTACGTCCTCGGAGTTTTTTTAAGTCTCTAAACCAAAGTCCCGTCCATTGCAGTGGCATGCACTATATTTAGTTGTTCACAAAGCAGATTTAGTATGAATCATTGAAATAAAAATACCAGATTACCTCAGTAAAACAATGGAATAACCTGATACTAATTACAATGATTCTTAAAAATGTCATCAAAAGAAAGTTTAACCACTGTTTAGCTTGAAGAAGCAATCAGAAAGGTTTCATGATGAGAAACTACACATAAATAGGGAGCTATACTTGGAAATAAAGGACCACATTGTCAAGAACTGTCTTTAAATTGAGCCTACAATTTTACCACACCTAAATTCTTGCACATGCAGTTTCCCACATCTAGGTTCTTGGGAGCATAAATATTTGCATGTGCAAAATTCCTTCACACATGTAAATTAGTTAAGCAAGCTGTGTACTTAGCCATCTAACAATCTGGTTTGTTTATGCAAATATACTTGCATATACAGTTTTATGTATATAAGATGTGAAAAACTGCAAGAACAATTTTAGAGGCTGGATCCGAATGAGTATATGGAAATGTTCATCTGTATATTGAAAAACTGGTCAGATTAGGGATAAAAATTCAGATATGTTAGGGGGTGGATACTGCTGATATGACCTTGACAGCCTGGCATTGATGAATTTTGAGGCCAATGATTAAGCAGACAAGTTACACAGCTGTCCACATACCATCATATGAAAGAGAAAATACACCTGCGGTTATTACCCTAGGTTGTTTTTTTTTTAAGAAAGAATAGAATAAAATAATTATCACTGAGAGATCAATGCAGTTTTAAACCCTCAGTGTACAGATGCCCACCAGTGAATAGTATAATATATGGAACCTCTGCTTCCTTGTGGCGTTAGCATACTGTATTGTAGATCGCAAAGAAAATGAGGTATCGTTTCTTCTCGGCCTTTTAGTCAAGGTGAGCCATAGCATCAATTTAATATACAGGCATCATCTATCAGAGGGACTATATCCCACCTTTGCACGGGATAGACTCAATGATCAAATTGGTCTTTTTCCATCTCTAGCTCATACAATCCTATAATCCTAACCAATTTTGTACACAGTCAGAGAGATACAATGGGAGAAATGAGCACCTGATTTTTACCTGGGTTCTCCAGAGTCATTTTCTTCTTCCTCTTCCTCACTTCCACTGTATTCATACTCTGTCTCATCTAGGAATATAAATGAATGTTAGTGCCCTTTACTGGACTCATTTGTTTTTCTACTGTTTGAAGACCCAGATGCTCTGGTATGAGAATAGAAACCTCCTTTATTTTATCCTGGGAAAATCAGTAATATTCTCAAGTTTTTTGCCCCAAAAGTCTGATTCTAAATGAGGGCCACAAAGCCAAGGAAATTCAGTCAAAAGCATAATGCATTCAGCTTTGACTAAGTATACAGTAGTCACTGTGCAGTGGCTGTCTGACATGCCGTGTACAATGGGATGAGTTAAGGATGGAGTTTCAGTCTAAATTCTGAATACAGTGTTCCCGATTCAACACTCAACACGGATCTATATCAACAGAGCAGGAAGATGCTGATGTAAAGATAGAAACTGCCAACACCCTTTTGTAAAATAAAAATATAACATTAAACAGATGACAAATGTGTAAAGTACAATTTCTGAACCTCAACTTCAGGAACACTCTTGCAAAAGTTAAGGTACAGGGCAGAATTCTACAGCAACAAGCCTGTGAAACTGGGATTTAAATACTGTTCCGAAGGCATAAACTTCCTTTTCCCTAAACATATGCACTTTTCTCTCTCCTATTAATATCCATATTGATATTTTCCAGTCAATGAAGGAGTCTACATAAATACCCAATTACAGTGCTGTACCACATTCTGCAATTTCTATTGGGATATAAGTGAAATGTAGAATTTTTATCGGATGAAGAGAATTATAGCAAAAGAAAGGCTCACATTTATCCAATTATTTTCCATCTCTAGGGTACAACCTTCATTTGCCAGTCTAAATACATTTAATACTTCACGAGAATCTGGCTTTATTGTTTTCATTTTACTGAAAAAAATATCAGGAAATGGCATTTAAGCATGAAAAAATGATAGTGCTTAAAAGAAATCAGAGAAATAGTGATGTGTTAATTGGCTGGATTCTACAAAAAATGTCAGCCATTGAGATCAAAAATAGAATACAGTACACATTCAAATGTTGGTACTGGCAATATATTATTTTAACAAGTTTGTTTATCTATTGAGTCTTCCTTTTATGAGACTTAACTGTGTCTCTGTATGATTTAAGTCAGTTCATTGAAAATGTATTTGTTTCAATTGGTTATTCCTGTAGCCGACACTGTTGTAAGCTCTTTGGGGCAGGGACTTGGTTTTCATTTGTACAGACCATTGCACAGTTTATAAATATGATTTGTGTTGTCATTTTATAACATAACATAAGAAAACATGACTTTAGTGGGTTCCACCTTCTGTGTGTGCATGGTGTGTATACGTGCGTACGTACTCGATTATAAATACACATTCACAAAGTGCTTAGATTCAACATTACAACAGCGCACTAGGCCCCTATCCTGCTCCTAGTGAAACTGAAGGGTAAAACTCCCATTGTCTTCAGTGGTGCAAGATCAGATGCTAAGTAATAATAGACATTAGATCTGGCCAAGAAATTATTTTTGTTCCTGTGAAAAAATTAAACAAACACAAATTAGTATTGATTGAATTTTTTTTTCAAGTTACTGGGTTTTCATTGAAAACCAACTCCCTAGACGTCTCAATTTTTGTTGTTGTTTTTTTTATGAAAACTTAAGAAAGTTGAAGAGGGTTGAAAGCACCACAGGACTGCACCCATTGAATTAAATCAGTTTCTAAATTGAGTAAAATTTAGACCAGCCCTAAGCATAGTCTGATCTCAGTACAGCACCATGGCACAGTCCCTGGGGCAGGGACTCTATTATGTTTTTATCCTGTGCCTAACACAGCAGGGCCTTGGACTATGATTGAGGTCCCAGGTCCTATCATAATACATACAATAGCCTCTTCTGCTTCGCTGCTAACCTTTTTCTCCTCGCTTCTTCTTAGTCCTATCAATATGGTCCTTAAGCTGGATGCGAACCTGCCTTTCATTAGGCTGGTCTCGAATAAATGGGTGCTTCATCAGCTGTTCGGTCGTTGGTCTCTGACTGTGGTTCTTCACTAGGCAGCTCTCAATGAATGACTGGAATTTTTTAGACCTAGTAGAGAAAGAAAGATGTGTGTGTTAAAAAGAAAAACATGAATCCAGAATTACGTCCAGTAAAAACGCGTCAGACATTTTCTGGATACTTAAAAGGACCAGCCAGCTTGAATTTTTTTGTTCGTTTGCAAATTGACTAAATTTTTTAAAAATGGATTATTGTTAGAATGTATTCTTTCAACAGTATTGTCCTGAAATAATTTTTCTCATCTCCTGTTGATGGTAAGAAGGATCTCTCTATTGCTCGTTATAAAATACAAACAAAGGGAAACAATTATTTATAATTATCTATTACTGCATTTTGGTGGGCGGTAATAGATTTCTGGGTTGAAGTGGGATAAGCAAAGTGATTTACATTTACCCAATTGATGTTACACAGATTTTTAAACGTTTATAGCTTGTACAATCTCCTACTCATTCTTGCTGTTCCTAGGCCTTCACTTACTCCCACCATGAGCTTGGACAGCATGCACTAATCCCATAAGGCATTACATCTTGGCTATAGTATGTTTGTGAAATCTACACTGTCAGCAGGTGTCCACACTGCTTCAACCTCCACCCATTTGTGGATCAAAACTAATGACCTGCCATTCTTGCTGTGCTGGGCAGAAGTCAGAATGAGGCTGTGTTGACTTAGCCTAGCCCATCCTCCCCTCCCTGCCTTGCTACAAAGAGTTAAACTAAACTCCAGCCAAAGCAAATCTGAGAAAACAAATTTTTCTCTTGGCCTTGGATTTTGCATATCAAAAGTTCTGCCTGGAACTAATTTCAGCACATTATAAACCCAAGGGAATAAGGATTTACAAGAAGGAGATGCTGACAGACCACTATGGTGCATGTTGCTTTAGCAAACTGGAACATTTGTGTAAATTAATGTCAGAAGCCAACTGATATTACAGAATTGCATTGAGAGGTAAAACAATAAGCTTTCAGGGATTTTATTTTTAAACCGTCAGACTAAAAAGTGATTTATCTTCTAAGTACTAATCCATACAAATTGGGATGTGAAAATAAACACTACTAGCTCCAATAAAATCCCACATCCAGATTTATTAATGAGCAAATCTCTCCTCTCTACCCTCCCCCTAAAGAACAGTTTCTTGGTGTATTCCAGAAGGAGAAAGTCGGGTGAAGCTTTATTCAGTCCAATTCTTTGTACATGTTAAAATAGAGACTGAGCCTCTGAGCCTGTATGTGGATCCATGTGGGCAGACCCCTTCACGTATGTGGAGCCACAAAAGCACTGGGGACCTGCCCAGGCAGATCTAATTGCAGGATCAGGGCCTGGATCATTACGGAGAAATGTAGCCAAAGACTGTACTATCTGGTATGCTGGACAACAAAAGCAACTGAAAACATCTCATTTAAGTGGCACTCTGTTTTATACAATCTGTTTGCTTAAAACAAACCTTGCAAAAGTAATTTGCTGTCCCCTGCTGAAGTGAACTACCACAAGAATCAGTGTTTAATTACATATTTAAAGTGTTTATTTGACAGTTATTGTAAATAAATACCAATGGGTTATTAATTGACTCTTCCTTGAGTTTAACGGGTATATAAAATGCCTACATGTAAATGATCATGAACCCCAGCTGCCGGTAATTTGATTTTGTGTTGCAGTACATTCCATTAAATTAGTACCTCCTGTTTACCCAGTCTGCTTATATGCAGTACTAATATTTTAATACACACATGGAAGTTAGTTAGGTATTGACACTACATACGACAAAAATGTTAAACTAACAGTCAAATTATATTATAAGCACAGACATTAGTGAGACATTCAGTGCTTTACTGGAAAGCAAATACACACTTTGCACTGCCAGTCTGACAGGTAGTCTTACTATAGCAGTTAAAAAGTGGCCTCCTTTTGCATGTGTGCATGAGATCATCTGTGCATGTACTTTTCAAACATCTGCCTGTGCATGTAGTGAAATTTACAAAACCTACTTGTATACTTTTCTAGCAGGCCCTGGCTTCTATTTTAAGGGGAAACACTGCAAAACTTGGCACTCTCATATGGCTTTAATCCTAATAAGGCAAAACTTCGCTATTTCAAATGTTTTTCACTTTGAGTTTCTGGATTGTTTTGAACACAAAATTCAAACTGAAATTCAGGGAGTTGGAACCTTCTTGAATCCAAGGGGAAAGAAGGAACGCCCAAATCCCTATGGCCTGGTCTACACTAGGCTTTTATGTCGAATTTAGCGCCGTTATATCGAATTAACCCTGCACCCGTCCACACCACGAAGCCATTTAGTTCGACATAGAGCCCTCTTTAAATCGATTTCTGTAATCCTCCCCAACGAGAGGAGTAGCGCTAAATTCGAAATGGCCATATCGAATTAGGCTAGGTGTGGATGGAAATCGACGCTAATAGCTCCGGGAGCTATCCCACAGTGCACCACTCTGTTGACGCTCTGGACAGCAGTCTGAGCTCGGATGCTCTGACCAGCCACACCCCGGGAAAATTTGAATTCCTTTTCCTGTCTGGGCAGTTTGAAGCGCAGTTTCTGTTTGGACACCGTGGCGAGCTCAGCAGCAGTGGCAGCAGTGGCAACGATGCAGAGCTCTCCAGCAGAGATGGCCGTGCAATCCAATAGAAAGAGGGCCCCAGCATGGACGGATCGGGAAGTCTTGGATCTCATCGCTGTGTGGGGAGATGAGTCCGTGCTTTCCGAGCTGCGCTCCAAAAGACGGAATGCAAAGACCTATGAGAAGATCTCTAAAGCCATGGCAGAGAGAGGCTACAGCCGGGATGCAACGCAGTGCCGCGTGAAAATCAAGGAGCTGAGACAAGGCTACCAGAAGACCAAAGAGGCAAACGGACGCTCTGGATCCCAGCCCCACACATCCCGTTTCTACGAGGCACTGCATTCCATCCTAGGTGCGGCCGCCACCACTACCCCACCACTGACCGTGGACTCTGAGGATGGGATATTGTCCGCGGCCGGTTCCTCAGCGGACGGGGAAGAGGAGGAAGGAGATGAGGAGGACGAGGCAGTAGACAGCGCTTACAACGCTGATTTCCCCGACAGCCAGGAGCTCTTCATCACCCTGACAGAGATCCCCTACCAACCCTCCCCAGCCGTTACCCCAGACACAGATTCAGGGGAAGGATCAAGCAGTAAGTGTTTTAAATATCCAAACATTTATTTACAACATAACTGGCATATTTAAAATATTAACAGTAGCGAAAGTGCTTTAAAACATGTAAACATTTATTTGCAACAAAACAGGAAGATTGAAAATATTAACAGTGGGTAAAGTGCTTCAAAACATGTAAACAGGAAAGTCAAACAAAAGGGGAATCAGTGCAAAGTGTATCATGATTACTCCGTCTTTGGGCGCCTCAATATATAGTCCGAACCATTTTAAAAAAATCTCACAATGTCCGCTTCATGATTATAGTGCCCAAAACCCTGCAGTCATTTGTCCCTCCAAGGGCACCTAAGCCAAGAACTGGTCAATGTAACCGGGGATCGAGGCGACATCCTCCGGGGAGAACTCCTCATACACCTCCTGCAGGTGTTTTTCAAGCCTCATCAGCAGGTTCCTGGGCAGGGACAGCTTATTAGGCCCCCCGTGGTAGGACACGTTTCCCTGCCACAACGCCAGCAGGTACTCCGGGATCATGGCCTTGCACAGCAGTGCAGCAAATGGCCCCGGTTTCTGCAGGCTGTCCCGGAGCATCTTCTCCTTCTGGCTCTCGGAGACCTTCAGGAGGGTGATGTCAGGCATGACTCCCTGCTGTGAAATCGGTAGGGGAAAGTTAGTATTGGGACTGCTTGCCCGTCCCTTTACAGAACTGCAACCGCCGGTTTACAGCCACGCGGTTTACAGCCGCGAGGGGCTGGGACAGGGCCAGAGTTCATGCTTGCAGGATTGCTGCCAGCAGAGACTCGCATTGCTTTCTATGTGAAAGGAGGCCAGTGCCACTCTTAAAGTTTTAAGCGGCCACAAGTCTACGGCTTACCATGTTTGCCATCTAGACAAAGTCCGGTGTCCTGCCCTGCTCCTCAGCTCGCCACAGCAAGACCGCAGGCACTGTAGGCGAGGGCCGAAAATTCGACCTTGTCCTCAGTGCGCGTGTGATAGGTGCTCTGCATGGTCTTGTTCACAGAGAAAGACTATGTTCTCTGTTCACAGATACATTGCTCTGTCTCAGGAATTCACTCCCTTTTTCCAATTCCCACAGCCACATCTGCCCAGAGGCTAGCGCACATTAGGAGGAGGAAGAAGAGGACACGGGAAGACATGTTTGCTGAACTAATGGAATGCTCCCGAGCACAGGCAGCCCAGCAGACACAGTGGAGGGAGAACTTGTCCCAAATGCACCGGGCAAACATGGAACGGGAGGAGAGGTGGCGACAGGAGGACAGGCAGGCTACTCAAACGCTGCTTGGACTAATGAGGGAGCAAACGGACACGCTCCGCCGCCTTGTGGATGTTCTGCAGGACCGGAGGCAGGAGGAGAGAGCCCCGCTGCAGTCTCTCTCTAACTGCCCTGCCCCGCCACCAAGTCCCATACACCCCTCACCCAAAGTCCAAACACGGAGGGGTGGAAGGGGCCGGGAAAAATTTCACTCCACCCCTGCGGACTGCTCTACCACTAGAAGGCTCTCATTCCCCAAAATTTGAAAAGTCCTTTCCTATCGGCCTCACACAAGACCCCGTCCAAGTTTCACCCCCCCGTTCCATGTGCGGTTGTTAATAAAGAATACGTTTCTGTTCATTTCTGTTTCCATCCTCTTCTTTTGGAGGGGAGTCTGTCTGAAGGGGGGGGAAGGGCCTTGGTAATTGGACAGGACAGTCACCTTTAGCAGGGGGCAGGTGCAGCAGCAGGGCACATATACAGTGCAGTGACTAGTTATCCTGGTTAGTCTGGGAGGTGGTTTTCATGTTTTCTGTGGTGGGGGCGGTGGTGTTGCTCTGTGACTTGGTGGCGGGGGAGGGCAGTTACAGATCTTATGCAGCGGTCCTTACCCTGGATCACAG